AAACTCCGGTGTTTTCAGGAGACCGATTTAGATCAAAATCTAAACCAAACCATCCAAACCATTTTGCTGATGGTACTTTACACTGACGGTGTTTTTCTGCTACTTCGGAGCATCACAGATTGGCTGAGTTTGGAAGGGACCACTGGAGTCAGCCGGTCCAACCCCCCAACTCAAGCAGGGTCCCCTAGAGCACGTTACTGAGGATTATGTCCTCGTGGTGTTTGAACATCTCCAGGGAAGGAGACTCCACAACCTCTCTGGGCAATCTGTGCCGGAGTGTAGTCACCCTCACAGTAAATAAGTTCTTCCTCATGTTCAGGTGTAACTTCCTGTGTTCCAGTTTCTGCTCATTGCCTCTGGTCCTACTGCTTGCCACCACTGAGAAGAGCCTGGCTCCATCCTCCTGACACCCTCCCTTCAGTTACCTACAGACACTGATAAGGTCCCCTCTCTATCTTCTCTTCTCCAGGCTAAACAGTCCCAGCTCCCTCAGCCTTTCTTCCTAAGTGAGGTACTCCAGTACCCTAATCTTCTTTGTAGCCTTCCACTGGACTTGCTCCATGAGCTCCATATCTCTCTTGTACTGAGGAGCCCAGAGTCGTAATGTCAACAACATTTCATAATTCCCTAAAAAATATGTTTATTTATATGCTTTTTTAAAGGGAAAAGAAAGCATTTGTCAATCTGTGTTTTATTCCTTTAATTTTTATGCAGTTCTGCTATCAGTAAGGACTGTTTTTTCACCCTTCTGAAAAAACATACTAATTTTCTAGAGACAGTTCATAAAGAATTCTAAATAGGGAGATTACTTCTTTAAGGCTGACTCTTTGGTGACTGCAGAAGTTTTGTTTGTGTAACAACAAATACCACAGTATTGTCAACTCAATAAAACAAACAGCCTGGAAACACTACAAGTAGCTGATCGCAGTTTTGGCAGAACTTTTTCTTTGAAGTGGTTCTCTAACATGCTCTTGTGATAAAGGTGCATTCAAAGCCTTTTGGGTGTCACTGTGCAAGGACCTAGAAGGAAAACTGTATCTGGAACTATCAGGGAAGAAGTGAAAGAGAAATTTTTTTTTTTCTGGCAATACCCTGCCATTTGGTAATCAAAGAGTATCCAGTTTCTGAATGAGTCCAGTGGTACACAAAGGGCAACAATTCTGCCTTTTTCCATAATTTTTTCATTACCAATATTTTTATCTTTCAAAATGACAAACTCAACTGGCAATCCAATGAACTCAATTTGAATTCAACTTTTGTGCCAATGTATTCACTGTGCAGGATCAAGAAAATTATTTAATCCCTTTTCTGTTAGCAGGATACCTTGCATAAGTAATCACTAATGATACCCGATCTTCTGTGCTGAGGACAGGCTGAATGGGCTTAATACATTATTAGGAGGAACTGAATTTACAATTAGGTGTCTGGATACTTCTTCCAACTGTGATTTGTAATGTTGGAAGACTCATCTGGAATTACAGGCTTGCAATTATGGTTAGGATTTTTTCTTTTTTTCCCCGGTCTGCTGTTTTTCCATTTACATTATCTAAATTATATGCAGCTTTTTCTTACAGAAATTCAGCAAGTACCAAAACTTCGGAGTGAGAAATAATTACAGCTAAATATGTAAACCAACAATCCCTCATCTGGAGTATGGCAGCACAAATGATACCTGTCACTGCTGCTGGTTTGTGAGTGGTAACTGCCTAATAGAGCTGTTAAACTGGGATAGGATTCCTTTGCCAGTCCTGCATGGTACTTTGTTACCAAGGACTTCTTCACACAATCAGGTAATTAATTTAATATCTTCAAACTTACAACTCTCTGCATATTAATTTAAATTATCAGCGCTACTTGAGCATTTGAAACCTGAAAGGACCAATACAATATAAGAAAAATGATGACTTCTTTTATGGCTTGATGCCTGTTGGATTTACAGCACTTCAGCCTGTTATACTGTCCAACTGAGCATCTGTGAGTGTTAGATCAACTGGAAGCGCAAATGTCTATCAATTTAAATCCTAAATCCATACATCTGCCTACCTCAGCTAAATAACCAAGCTCTAGGAGGTTGAAGAGAGCTGAAAATACAGTGAAGAACAAGAACATTAGACAATTAGTGACAGCTAGTTAGTAACTTGGGAACCTTACATTTCCAAACCACACCAAACAGCTTTTAGATACTCAAAAGCTAGAGCAGTGTCCAGAGCTAGAAAAAAAAAGCTAGTGCAGAAGCTAAAAAAGCATATAAAAAGTTCAGCAAAAACATGAGTAGAGTGAGAGCTTCTGAGAGTATGGATATATTCTAAATCCTAAATCTTAATGCCTGGGATAGAAGTACTGGCAGCTTCTAATAGGTGTGTGGAGAGTGCCCTCATTCACATGAGATGCCGTACAGCTCTTGAGGTAGTGATACTGTTCTTCTCCAAAGAACTGAAAAGACTTATTCTTGCTTTTAAGGTGTGATAGAGATGGTGCTGAGTTGTCTACAAAGGTGTCGGCATCATGCTTCAAAAGCCTTTTTAGCTAGTGTCATTGTAAATAGGGATTTTTTTTTCTTTTCTAAAGTATTCCTACATTTAAACTTCAGAGAAACTTCACTGGGCAGCCTCTAAAAACACTTTATATTTACTTAGTCATTTTGTGTTTCTCTTAAAAAATATAAATTATGGCACTTGCAAATGTAGTTAGCTGCCGTAATTAAAAATTTCTATCCAACTATAGGCAATATACTGATAACCGTACAGGTCTGAAACAACATATGTAAAACAAAAATCACTGTCATGTCAGCCTTGAAAAAAGAAGTATATTTACATTTTGTTGCCCTTAAATTTCTTCTGCAAGGGTTGTAGCAAATACGGATAGACAGAATATGGTGAGAGGAAGCTGCAGGCAGTGAAGCATTGCAGTATGTTTTATTCCCTCTTACCATGAAAACACTTTGTGCTCTACATCATAAATTTGCATAATTCCTTGATATCTTTACCAAATCTCCATATTTCTGTTGATAGGCAAATATGTGCACAGCTTGCACATGACAATGGCTAAACATAGCTAAATTTTTTTATTCTGATCCTTGCATGGAAAGTGTCCAGATGATGTAACATGTTAATTGGCAGATACAAGTGTAAACAGGGTCATCTCTGACCAGCCAGATTAAGATTAATGTACAGTTGATTCCATCTATAGAAGTTACTTCAAATCATACATTGTATTATATTAAGCAGGGAAAGAAAATAACTGCCCAAGGACCACTTTTCAACCCAAAAGGTAAAAAATGAATAACAGGATAAGGGAACTATGGGAAACTTTTAAAAAAAAAAAAAGGAAACAAAAGGTCTCTCCAGAACTGTGGAAATAATTTTGTTCTATGCCTAATCTTACTTCCATTGCTATGAACAGGATTTGCATCAAAGATTCACTGCACTTCGGTTTCACATCTGCACTGTAAAACCCTTGCTGGAGCAATTTCTGAGATTATTCTATGATTTTGAGAATAGCTGCGTATCTGGATTTTGCCAAGCAGCTGCAGTGGCTCTTACAGAAGGACCTGTATCTATCTGCTTCAAGAGAACAGCTGTACCTTTTAGTTCTGCCCCCTCAGTGTTTGCTGGGGATGCAAAGCATCATGAAAGGACTAACCTTGGACCATATGGGTGCCACAGGCAAGAGAAAGAATACCAACTTCAGCTGTGAAGTGTTTTTTCCCTCCTCTTACACGTTCAAATCTGGTGAAAAGTAGTGATGCAATTCTACATAATGGTTCGGGGAAACCAGCACCAGCCCTCAAAGTCATAACCATTACGTAGGATGAGTTGCTAGAAGCAGCAGATACTGTTTCACTCTACATACTCCTTGTAAAGCACATACTGCCATAAGTTGGCTGAAGACGAAAAGCAGTAACATACCTTGAGCATGGCAGAGTATAGGAAACAACAGCTGAAGCTGAGCTTGTGAGTTTGTTGTTTGAATAAGCTCTCCTCAAGAAATATAAAAAAAGGCTCAAGAAAAAGAAGCAGCATTTACTAAATAAAGTGCAAAGGGCCACCACAAGTTATAAAAAGACAAATACATAATATTGTTCAAATAACTTCTTAAGTCACATCCACATATTCAAGAGGGAGTTAGATTTTCTTTATTAAGAATTAGTCTGAAACTGATCTAACTTCCTTCACTTTTATTTAGCTAATATTGTTATGCATGGCATTTGTGCCAAGAACCTGAAAACATATATAAAAGTAGGTTTACAGTTAAAAATAGACTGCACTAAAAAAGCTGAAAAATTAATTGGCTCCTGTTTATGGTAATGATGTAGTTTGTTGGTATGTCTGCTGCAGTTTCTGGTTAAGACTTTTTTAAAGGTTCTAAACTTCTTACAGTATTTGTACATTCTTGAGACATCTAATTCTGTATTACATTGTAAACATGCTGTGATACTGGGCATAGGCATCCTGCCTAACAAAATACCTTTTCTTTCTGTTTCCTCCAAATATGTACACACTGATATAAAAATCAATAAAAGGACTTTCTTCGGCCCTTATGACAAAGCTTCCCTTGGACATGGCACTGCCTCACGTTTCACCTTTACCTTTGCCCAGCTGAACTGGCATGCTTTCGGACTTCAGCATCCTCTGCTGCTGTGACTGGTGGTAGTGCTGCTGCTGCTGGTGATGATGGTGCTGGGGGGGTTCCACTGTGCTCCTGATGGGCATTGAAGGGGGAGGAAAGCTGCTCCCGCCAGCAGGAGTGCCCACTGCCCCACCTGAAGCCATAGCTGGAGCAATGAGCTTTCGGCCAAAATTCAGTAAGCTGTTGGAGACTTTGTTGATGTTCAGTGGGGCAGCCTTAGCACTGGCACTGAAAAAAGAAGAGGAAAAATAATCACATCATTGCCAGTGGCTTGGAGAGGCACAGGCAAATGTATATCATTCTCCAAAAATGAGAGAAAAAAATCCAAGCTTTGAATGTTACAAAGAGGGTGTTTTACTACAGTTGCACTGGAATACAGGCAGAGACCACAGGGATTCCATGTGGTGTAAGTTTTTCCTAACCAGTAGTGGACAAATTGGTTTGGTCCTTTCTTCTTGAAACGTGCAGACCAACCCCAAACAAAGTGAGTTTACACCAACTTTCTTAATTTGTCTTTTTAAATTAAAACTATGAAAGAGTGCCAAAAAGCAATCCAGACTCTGTAGAATCAAAAACTTCATAAAACTGACTTTTCATACTTTTTATTTGAAGACTGCTTTAATATTTACTTCTGATAGATCAAATTCTCTTAAATGTTTAAAATACCTCAAACCCAAACATTTCTTTCAGCAAGCAAAACTAACAGTAGACTGTACTGTTAGGTTGTCAGAGCTAGAGATCTCTGGCTCTTCACCTTCTGCCCAGCACAATCATTTCAAGTCAAACACATTTTAACAGGAATCCTGATTTCTAAAGTGATTTTGCTGAAGAACTGCATCAGGATATAATATATATACTGAATCATGATCCTTATCATTGTTACTTTTTACTTTTAACTACAGTGGCTATTTAATTCACTTCAGTTATACGCAACATTAAGAATGAGGAAATTGTCGAACCATTTAATCTGTCTAAAATAAAGAGGCAAAGAACCTTCTAATTCCCAGTAGAAATGTCAGCATAACCCAGAGATCAGCAAAGCTGTTCCTATTTGTTCATGCAATAATTTCACAGTTTATATAATTAATGCTTAAAATACCCTTCACAGAAATTTATCACAATCACAAAGACCCTTCTACTCCTGAGGTTTTCTTTCACTGATCTGTACTTCCATGATATAAATAGCTGTCTTTTAAAAATTTGAAGAAATGTAATTAAAACCAATACAATCATTGTACTGGGGAAAAAACAGCTTTACAATGTTTTGAGGAAGTTTAACTAAAAATAACCTGCAAATGAATTAATATGTGTGACTTGTAACTTGTGCAGGCACCTGGAAAAGTAATTTTGATTTTGCTTTTCATATAAATTCTCTATTTGCCTCCAGAGATGTTTTTTTTAGAATACACAATACAAACACGCATACACATATAGAGCACATCCAGAAAATAACAACAGCTGAGTTGTTTAGACTCAGAATAGATACTCAGAATAAATAGAATAGGAGAGATATCAGAAGGAAGTATATGAGCCTGCACACTCATGAGATACAGCCCCAAGCTGTACAGCGCCCTTCTGCCATAGACTGGTGATGAAGAAAGATGGCACATAACATTTTTAGGAGGAACAGCAGCACAGAGACTGGGACCAATGCTTCCCAATTTATGGCAGCTGGAAAGGAACGATTGCTGAATAATAATTACAGGATGTTTCTGTGCCTCCCCATTTTATTGTTTGCTGCTGATATTACAAAAAGTCTTTCCGTAGTCACCTGAGAATGACTGACAAAGTCACTACAAAGACAGTGCCTGCAGAACTATAAAGTACTCTTGCAGGAGGCCCAAATGGTTTCAAAATGAAACTGAATTGTCCCAATGATTTTAAAGAAAATGACATAATAAAATGTTTATTACTATTCAATTTTACTCTGCTAGTAGACATCAGATTCTGTTATTAATCAGTTCCTCAAGATGTTGCTGAGATACTTTAGTTAAAAAAAGGGATATTTTCTACTCCATCTCACATACATGGCATCAGAAGAGTCAGCATAGGGCTGTTTGTTTAATGTTCTCTCCACTCCAGAAAGAAAATGATTGAGGCTTTGAAGGTGAAAGAAAAAAATATCAAATGCTGATATCAGTCAGCTATCAACAGTTGCAATAAATCTAATTACACAGCTGATTTTGGGGGTGATACCAGCAGTAACTTGGTGGAGATTCAGAATCCAAACTTTACTCCATTTGGCATATTTTTCCCCTTAGTCTACTGAAACTGATCACCAGGATTTGAGACTATATTGCTCACTCAGCTGAAACATCACCTTAGAGAGAAGATAATGGTTTTCATATTGAGTCCGAGATTTGTGTAGTCTCTAGTTCTAGAACCTTGACAATGACTAAAAACCCCTTGACTTTGCAGAAAAAAACTATATTTAACGGAAGTAAATAATTTTCTCTGACAGGCTACCTGAGCAATAAAGCCACTGGACACTTTGAGCTAACTGCATCATTGCAATCATGACGGTCCACAGATGCAGGAGATAAAACTTATATAGAGACTTGTGCATTTGTGTCCACCAGCTTGTTTTTTTTTTTTTTCAGCTACATTTTGCTTAATAAAATGGGGCAGTTTTCCTTCTACACTGTTTAATTTGCTGCTTTGACATATAGGTATACCAGGCCAAGTTGGTTTACTTGCATTTTTCAGATAGTTCAGATGGAGACTTTTTGAGAAATTTCACCTTACAAGAGCAATAAACATTAAAAATCTCTAAGCCATTATGTCCAAAACTTGATTTAAAAAAATGATTTCAACAGTAACATGCAAGAATGTTTTATAATTATTTGGTAACTACAAAGGATAGCTACTGCAGCTCCTAATACCTGTGGTGTAATTTGGCTCTGCTGTGAACTGACACTGCTGCTGATCAGCTCAGAACACATACAAAGACATGAAAAACAAATAAATGCTATCTAAGCATCTTTTCAAGAGGTGGCTTTAATAAAGGTATTGTGAAGTAAAATATGTGGAATTTCTCTGAATCACAGTTTCAGCAAACGAACAACAGTGAGTTGCTACATCTCTGGAGGAGTTACATTAAAACTGAGCTGAAGTTCAGGAAAATAAGAACAATGCATCTATTTCTTACCATTTAAATGTCTGATATATTAATGCAAAGGATGATTACAGTCATTAAATACAGATCAATGCCTACATTTTAGCCATCTAAATGTACCAAACATGCACAACAATTACAAGAAAAATACTGATTGATTATGTTGTAGTTATCAGCAGATGCATTTAAAAGTAAGGCATCAGTTTAAAAATATGAGTATCAAGGAGACGTGAATTCCATCTATGAAGCAAACAATTTTGTTTCATCACAATAAGCATCATTGACCTTGACTGTGAATGGTGTATTTTTAAACTAGCAGTAGGAAGATGATTCAATCTCTGCAGTTTTCTGCTAAGATGGAAATGTTTTGTTTTAAGCAAGCCTTATTCAAAGGCATTTCTCTTTTCAGTAAGTAATCATTCCGAGAGATGAGAGACAAATATATGAATATGATGGATTAAAAAGTTTTATATGTGATAAAGTAAGCAATATGTATTAAAGATTGGCCAAGATATTTTAAACATATAATTGAGCCTGTGGAATTAAAGATGAAAAAGACCTGGTAGTTGACTTAATACATCTCTCTGCTCACTGCAGAAACATTCCCTAATGTTACATCTGCAAGTTCTCTCTTTAGCCCAATCTTAAACAGATTTACCACATTTGCCCTACTCTAAATGTTCCTGTTTCGAGATATATTTATCCCAGCTATTCCCCCATCTAAACTATTCTAAACAACTTCTCATGTCCTTTGGTATGTATTCTGCATATATGTGTGCAATTAATTTATATTCCTACCTAGACCTAACTGACCTTTTTTTTTTTAGAATTTAGGTTTCCAACAGGTGCCATTCTTGTTTGGGCTTTATGATTATTTACTTTTTTAAAATCCTTGAAATGTTTCTTTCTGAATTTTCAAAAATTTTTTTCCAGTTTAGGTAACATTTGAAATAAAAAGTAAAAATATGAAATTTGAAATAAAAATATTAAGAAAATGCAATAGAATGCAGTGATATTTGACATCCTTCCCCAATCTTAAAGCCTGATTTAGAAAGAAAAAGATGTTTTTTCAGTCACTGTACTCATCTTTAATTTCTGCTCCTTTCTCCATTTAAAAACATTTTCAACCTACTCCATTTTCATTTTACCTGGCTTTTAATGCAGCTGATTTAAACAGAATGTGACAGAGGTGCAAAGGTCCAAAATCCAGCAAGTTTTCAAGAGTCAGAAGGCACAGGATCTGGCTGCAGCCACGTGCAATCCAAGAAACTGCCTGTGACAGTGTCAATTAAAACATTACATCTTGCGTTGGCTTGCCTTGCAGCCACCAGCAGCCACTAGTAACTGGCACCTGTGTTGTGGCCACCCAAATAAAATGGTCTTGAGAAGGGATTTTAGCATTATTGATACAAACCATTTCTAAAAGAAGGGAGGAAAAATTCAGCAAAAATTACTTCAAACTGGATTTACATTAATTCAGTTTAACTTAAGACAGTTTCTGGTACATAAATACTCCAGATTGCGATTAAATGTGTTATCTGTAGTAGTTCAACTACAGAACTCACACTGACAAGGTTTTATCCCCTCCTTTTAGTATACACATCATTGCTAATGAATGTCCTTAACCTCAAAAAATACCTGCAAGTGACTGCAACACTATGTGTAAAACTTTAATTTTTTGTGTGTAATACTAGGCAAGGGACAGATTCAAAATAAATGTCATAAAATAAACACATTTCTAACACTTCTAACACTGCTTATATAATTCCTGTTTGGGATAAATGTGACTCCTGAAACATTTTGTTTATGTAAGGTCTTAGTTCGGTGAACACACATTCAGAAATAGCTTACCGGGTTTTGTTCATCAGGTCTGCTCCACGTGCTTTGTAATAATCTAAATTTTGTTGGAACTGATGAGTCACTGGTCTTGGATTTCTCTAAAAAAATATAAAAGAAAAAAGAAACCTCATTGTAATTTTCTGAGAGGCTTAAAGCAGAGACAAGAATATATCCATTAATGAAGATTAGAAACTTAAAGAACAATTTCTTTTCCCAGGACCTTGGTTTTTCAAGGCATTAATGTCAGTTACATTGAATTGAAATCTTAAAATACTTAAAATAATACCAAGTGTTACCAGTAAGTCCATTTCATGCTCAGAGAAATTAGTGTTCCTCTACACAGTGATGAGGCTGTTGGCTGTAGTGGTAACACTCCTAATTAAATCAATAACTCTTGGACAAGTACAGATACCAATCTGATTTCTTCCTATAGCTTAGGTATAGCATTTTACCACCTCCAAGGTGAAGTGATATGTTTTTAAAGAAAATGCAATAGCAAGGAGAAACTAGTAGCAAACATTTGGAACTGAATACATCACTAGCAGTATCTCTGTTAAGCAAAAAATTACATTTAGTGAGACAACCTGAATTCTCCCACTAGATGGCACACAGAGCCTTTTTTTCCTCTCCAAATTTCACCCTACCCGAAACAGAGGCCACAAATAAAGAACTGCTACCCTATAATAAAATGTATATAATTAATATTGAAACCAGAAGCCACTTGTTAGTCTCCACTTCTGCAACAACAGAACTCTTTCATGTCATCATGCTGCCTTCCATAGTTCTGAAATCTAAGAATCCACTGAACATTGACCAAGTGTAGACCGCAGCATATGCATAAAGTGTCAGTTGAATGAATGCACCCTAAAGGACACTATTTTTAAGTAAAAATATTTGTGTCAAGATGGAAACAAAATAACAGAGAGGCCTTTTAAAAATATATATATTAAGATGATAAGAGAATTGGCTTCAATAACTTCTAGTGTAAAGAGAAAAGAAAATTGTATACTTTTGCATAATGACTACATATAATGTATAAAAGAGATCTAAATATTTCCAAGTATTTGCTCTAAAGGTTTAATCTTTCATAGGCTGTTGCCTTATATTCTGATCTGCATTATGTCCTGCTAGTAGCAAATACAGTTCTAATGAACTGTGCAATGACCTTTCAGAAACAGTGGAAACATAGGTGGAAAGTACACTATATTTTTGACAGAGTCAGTCTTCAGCTGTTTCAGTTTCACATCTTGTATATTTGTTCTCTGGATCTCATTATAGACTGGAGTATCCACTGTCTTATCCTCTCATTTTCCACATAACTCTCCTTCCTTGAAAACCTTGGGGTTTTTTGAGGATACAGAAGTGGCATTTTAGAGACCAAAATATTGCATGTGCACAAAATTAGAGAAGAAGATTTTAAAAGGTGGTAGGTACCAAAGGCCAGGATGATTTCTGGGGCATATTAAAGGGTGGGAATTTCCAGATCATTTCCTGCACTTAGACTTAATCTTGTATGAAATATCTCATTTTCTTTCTTCAGAAACATGATAAACATTTTAAACATATATACTGTTTGTAATGTTCATTTAAAAATGAAACAACTAAAAGCTATTAGACAAGCATTAAAAAAGTCCTACTCTATCCTACCACCCACATTGTAATGGCCATTCTCCACTTTTTCTTCTGTTATAAAACCAATGTCTGCATAACTCTACCTATTCATATAGCTTGTAAGTCAGTCCTCATCCACTGACAGCAATAACAATGAATCAGCTTTAGTTACTATTGCTCTAGTTTGGTAATTCAATACATTTCTATGATAATCAAATCCACACTGACGTGATGAGGATAACTGATGGTTCTGTGACTACCATGTCAGTAATCAAACAGTGTAACTTTTCCCCCATGAATTAAATAACTTCTTTCTTTACATGTCTTAATGACCATTTTCAACAAGGTGGTAGAGTAGGAGATGGTTAAAATAACAGGCACTTCTAAGCATAAGACAGCCCTTTGAAAAATACACATTACCAGGTGCTAGCCAGATTTGTAATTTGCTTCCAATAACTCAAGTCTATATTGAAAGTTAGCAAAAACATTGAAATTTCTTTTGCAACACCCCATAAATAATAAAAAAATATTTTTACAAATTGCTTCTGAATAAAGGAAAAAAAACAAAAGGAAAAGATCATGTGGAACATATTTATGCAGAAACGACAAGCAATTCAAGACGCAAAAGGCTGATCTACCATCTAAGCACTTAAAGCCATTAATAGGAATAATGATCTAACTCGAACATATGAATGAGGCTCAAGCATTACTTTCGCAGGGGCCTATTTAAATTCCTATGAGGTTTAATAGTACAAAAGGAAGAAGCAGTTTAAAGTACTAGTACATGCAGTGAAAAAAAGTCCTCAAAAATGCTGTTGAAAAAACATTAGAAATGCAAGACAGTAAATACCAAGGGTTACTGCTGCAACTCCTTTTGTAACACTACTGAGAGATCCTTTTGGAAAATGTCAGTATTTAAAAAATACCAAACTGACATATATGTTAGCAGACAAGTACCCCCACAAAAGATTTAAATACTTCTGGAAATTGAAATTCAGACAGTAAAAAATATGGTTTTATGAAGATTATGATCTTTATATCATTGTGGTTGTCCTTTAAATTTCTGTATTCCTTTCAACTATTTCAGTAAGTTAACTATAAGAAGCAGAACCTACACAATTACAGTCTCTCTTCCTTATGAATTTTACACTAATTCCCCTCTCTAAGCATCAAGTTTGAGCTGTCCCCTATATTGTATTTCATGCATTAGAATGAAAGACTAAATAAATTTATTTACAAAAAATATAGCTCTGTTGTTTTAGTGAGGAAGTATCCCCTGCCCATGTCAGGGGGGTTGGGAGTAGATGATCTGTAAGGTCCATTGCAACCCTATAATTCTATGATTCTATGATGCTTAAAATATTAACAGCAACAACAATTTTTTTCCTACACAGTGCAATTTAGAATGATCAGAGTTGTATTTTTCATTACTTAAGCAAGAAAAGCTATTCCTTTTTCAATTCATATATGTATTTTGACTAGTGTCTCAGATAAAATATTTTTTTTCTTAAAAGGGTAATGTTAAAATGACAGTGAAATCAATCCTTCAAATTAGTAGTTTGCTGAATCCCTCCAAGAAATTGTGTAAGGGCATTATACAGATTGACACATATATGATTTTCCCCTTCTAAGGGAAGAGAGAGCAGTCAGAGAGTCAGAAAGAAAAGCTGTCTGTGCCAATACTAGAAACTCTCCTTTCCCACACCCATTTTTTAGGAGCAGTCTGGTGGATTTCTAATTCTTCTAATCTTAATTTCTATCTAGAGTGAATGTAGTTTCAATTGGTTGAAAATGCCCAATTTGTGGTTTTAAAAGGATAAATGGAAATGTATAGGAAATGTATAAAATTCAGATATAGAAGCACGCACAGAAATTGATGTGATTTTGGACTTCATCTCTTCAAAATTTACTAGGCACAGCCCAAAGGAAAAAGATGCCTTAAAATGTTTCAGGTATCACTAAGGCAGTCCTGCGTCTGAGCCCTTTCTTGCCTGAAAGATGCTCCCCTGGCTTATTTGCCTGCTGAAGTCCTCTCCCTGAGCTCCTGTCTCCGTTTCCAGCCATTACCAGACCGACTCACTCCAATTCCCATGGCTGGCAGGAGGATCCCAGGGACTTTCCATTTGCCGTTATCCTTTTCCAGGCACACGGGGCCAACTTAACTTATACCCACACTTTTCCTAGGCTGGGGGCTGACGCTGTGGTCAGAATCACACGCAATGCAGCAGACATTCCCTAACCCCACATAAACTGCTGAAAAGCATTTCCCACCAGCTAAGGATCATGCGCCATATGCTCAAATTCCCTAGTACAACCCCTTTTCCTCCCTGGCCTCTGGAGACATTATCGTGTCATGTAACCCACGGAGTAGATATGATACAGCGAAGCACACTTGCACGTGATTGAAGTCACAGGCAGGCTGCTCTACAACATACCTAACATTTTGCTCCCTGAATACACAGTATTTTTAAAAGTTTACATGCAGATGCAAGCAGAGCAATCTCTCTAACACTCTTCTTTGTCAAAGTATTTTCTTTCCTCCCTTTTTAGCACTCTTAACAGGGAAAATAAAATCAAACCCAATTTTGCACAAAATCTGAAGGTGCAGAATAAGAGACAAGAATGAACAAAGATTTTCAATACGTCTGACGAAAAATTAGACTTATTTTAGTGAACATGCTATTGCTTTGACGCCAAGGGAAAAGCACTCGTCATTAGAGAAATGAATTGCTCAGCTGTTTATAAGCAAAAAGCTCTGGGGGAATTTCTCAAGGCCCAAACCACAAAGCATTGCAGGGTTACACAAACATATGTTGCAGGTGTTTTAGGGTAGACAGGTGGGAAAACCTCAGCTACTGAGAAATGCTCCACTTAATAGATTGTATCCAAAACTAGATAACCTCAATGCAACAGAGAAAAAAACCCAAACAAAACAGCAGCAGTGAATTCTACATACAGGCAGCAATAGACAGCAAAATAATCATCTCACTAGTGTCAAAAGCAATTTTTTAAAACTAATTTTTTACAATACATTAAACAAATTCTGCCAAACATTTATCTTTTTTTTTTTTTCCCTAAACTACTAATACTTAGAGCCTAAATCAAACAGCAGACTGAAGCAAACATAGATAAAAAAAGAGAAGGATAATGATGTAGTGTTGTTCTTTTCATTTAAACAATTATTTTTTAAGATCCAATTTGCTCCTTTCCCCCCTCTTTAGTTGACAGGGCAATATTAGATGTTTTCATAATTCTTATATAGCCTAAGACATTTTTTCATTAAAATTCCTTTCATTTCTTTCTAAAGCAAGTTGGAGGAGCAGATGACCCTAAACTCAGTAAGGACTGGGAAGTCAGCAAATGTCTACTTTTTCCTGCTACATCACCTGCGGTTCCCCTAAACTCAGTAAGGACTGGGAAGTCAACAAATGTCTACTTTTTCCTGCTAGATCACCTGCGGTTCTTTCTTCAATGAAGACTATACAAA